CAATGATAAATGTAAATGTATTGTATACCTAAAATGTACCAATAAAAGAATTTAAGGAAAAAAAAAAAGAGCAAGTGTGGGTCACCCGGCAGATCGGGGGCTTTTTCTACCTTCACATCACTTGGAAGCCTCAGTTCTTAAGTGAGTGGGTGCTGCCTCCTCTCTGAGCACCAGAGCACAGAACTTCTGCTCTGGGGTCACAGCAGGTAGTGAGCTCTGTGGGAAATGCAGCCCTGCCCTGCTACTGTCCCCGGACCTGCTTCCTGCATGCCTGGCTCCATCACTGCTGGGCCTAGTGACGGCCCATGCCCAGCCCTCTGTTGCAGGTCTGAGGTGGGGTTGGAAAATGTGTGTCTCCTGCAAGTGCGCTGGAAGATGGAGCTGGGGCTAGGATGGCAGCAGGAGGAGGGTACAGTGGTGAGTATCTGGCAGCACTGAGCTTATCACACAGGAGTCACCATGGCTGCTGTCCTCTGGAAAGATCTCTGAGGGCTCTGATGCTCTGCAGCTCTCTTCCTGCATCCATAGGTGGTGGATCCACAGGCTGGTCACCCAGGGATCCTGCAGGGCACTGTCCCTGCACCCCAGTGTCTCCCAAAGTCTCCTGAGACTTGCACCCCAATTCCTGCCTCTAACTATTAGACCACACCTATTAGGATTGGGAAACCAGGGCAGAGAGGAGCAGCCTGCTGAAGAGGACAGAGCCAAAACACCCAGGCCTTATGAATTCCCAGCACCGCTGATCTAATCAAGCTGCCATGCAGGGTTTTGCACTGTTCTTCGAAATGGCTGTATCTGTTTCTCAGCCCTCACTGAGTGGTGTTTTGATGATGAGCAGATGCAGCGTAGCTGTCAGTGGGCACTGAGATGGCAGCTGTAATGAAGGAAAACCCCAAATTCGCCCTGGGTGGTGGAAGGTTCCCAAGGACAACAGGTGGCCTTGGGAGCTGGGCATGCATTCTTTGACTGTCACTTCCCTTGGGCTCCATAAGTTGTGTTCCAAGGACTGAAGGCCTTGGAGTGGGTGTCATCTTCCTCCAGCCTGGCTCAGAACAGGTGGTGCTTATTGAATTTTGCCGATTCTCTTCTGTGTCTGCTGGCTTCCTACTACTCATCCTCCTGGGTGGTTCTGTCCCTGCTGGCCACCTGGGAGCCCTGTGATGGATGTAGGCTGTGCCACTGAAGCAGGGGTCCACAGCCCAGCCAAGAACTGCCACAGGTGTAGACTGAGAGGGGAGACCCACCAGGAAGGGACTCAGAGGGATCTGCTTGGAAGAGATGAGGGCACAGCTGGCCACCTCAGAGAGTTCCTTTTGGAAGTGCAGCCCTCCTGTGTTGCGGGCAGGGAGGAAATACATTCTCCAGCACAGGGGAGGGCATTGGAGAGATGCTCTGAGGGTCCTGGGGGCTTTTCCTCCAGTCCTCCCATGCAGGCCACCCCGCCCCAACACACAATATCCCAAGGTTCACCTCCAAAAAATGAGCTCAGAAGCCTGTAAGAGATACATTTGTTTTCACTGCTTCACGAATAATAAAAATCCCCTTGACCACCACAAGAATGCAATGTCATGAGTCATCCATCATAGTCTAAGAGGCTCATACCATGCTGAGAATGAAATCACTTCCTGAAAAAGAACCCAAGCACCAGCCTTGCAATAGCAGCCCTAATTTTGTTGTAATTGCAATCTCTAGGACAAAGGTGCTGTCCACTGTGTACCCTACTCCTGAGAGGTTGGCATGAGCTGGGAGGGGACATGTGGAGCAGCAGAGACCTCAGAGGGTGGTGGCCAGGGTGCAGACTCTCCAGCCCTCCCCACCCAGCACCTGCCAAAGCCCACAGTCACCTTTGGGGATAAGCAGCACCTCTCCCTGTGGAATCCAAAATAGAAATATCTGTCCTGATCCTGAGTTTGGAAATCCAAATCCAGGAAGTTTGTGTGCCCACCCTCACACCCAGAAACAACTGGGGAATGGGTACAGGATGGAGGTGGGAACACCATGGCTGCCACCATTCAGTACATGGGAAGGCCAACGGCCATGTCTGTGCCAGGCTGGGAGCAGGAGCACCTTTCCAGGGTCCTGACCTCCCTTTTAGAGTGAGACTGCTGCTTTTTGTTTGAGGTTCAGCTCACTATGGGCATCTATCCATCCATGCATCCATCCATCCATCCATCCATCCATCCATTCACATACCCACCCATCTACCCATCCAGTAATCTACCCATCCACCATCCATCTATCTATGCATCCAGACAAACATCCTTCTATCTAGCTATCCACCTACCATCCAACCATCCATCCATCCATCCATCCATCCAGTCATCCACAATCTAACCACTCATCAATCCATTGTCCACCCATCCACCATCTATCTATCTATCCATGCAATCATCCAGGCATCCATCCCGGTATCCATCCAGGCATCCATCCATCCATCCATCCATCCATCCATCCATCCATCCGGGCATCCACCCACCCACCCATCCTTCCATCCACCCATCCACTCCAAGTCCCAGTACATTCCCTGGCCTTGCCTCTTCCTGCTCAGTCACCAGGTGCCTGGCATTCTGCCTGTGCTGTGCTGCTGGAGAAGGACCTGTGGCACCCATTATGAAACACATTCCCAAGGGCAAGCCCAGACAGACTAACGAGGCCACTGTGGGCCCTGGAGAGACTGCATCCCCTGACCCTGTCAGCAGTCATTCTCCCTGCACCTGTCTCTGATGAGGCTTTTGCCCTCAGGATGACCACAGCCCTTCCTGGTTCCCTGCTCCACCTGGGACTGCCAGGGAAGTGGCTGGGCACCACCTGGGATGCACAATGGGAAAAGAAAATGGTTTCAGGCTTCTCCTCTGCCAGTCACGCCAAGGCCACCTGCACAGAAGCCTCAAGAGAACTTCTGCACTGGCCGGGGATGCCACTTTGCAGCCTGAAGAAGGACCTGCCTGGGCCAGCCGGCTGCAGCTTTGGCCCCAGAACCCTTGGAGCAGAGAGGCCCATGAGTGAACACCCTGGGGCCTTCCTTTTCTGCACCTCATGGGGGCTGGACCCCCCATACCTGTATCCACACACAGACCTGCTCGCCTGCATCCACACAGGGGCACCCCACGCCTGTGCCCACGTGGGGCTGCCTCTCCCCGTTCTGGCTGATATGATGGCAGAGGCTGAGATGAGGCTGTACTTTCATGCTTCACTGGTGAGCAAAGATGTCTGTCTCTTTTAATGAATAAGAATATAGGGACAGAGGGCTCCTGAATGAGGGCTCATCCTCCACTAGAGGAGAAAATCAGCTGAGACTCCTTCGGGGATGACCTGAGAACAACCCAGGGGAGATTGTGGTGGAGAGGGCAGAGCTCATGGGCCCAGGGTAGAATCAAGCTGCGACCCTGCTTCCCCTAGGTTGGGGACTAGAGTGCCACAGTGCCAGAGTCCACTTACACACATGGTCCTTCCTCGAGAATGGGAACGCCTCGCCATGGCATCCTTGCCGGGTGCCTGGTTCCCACCCCAGGGCCTGAAGGTTGGGGCCCCGGAAGCTCTGTCCTCTGCCAAGTGAACCCTGCTCCCCATCACGCAGGGTTCTCCCTGAAGGTCAGTGCACCCAGGTGAAGGGCAGCATACCCAGGTGTAGCTTGCCCGGCCCAATGCCCAAGCCTGCCTGTCCCCTAGCCACTCGAGCTGATTGCCTCCTGGCCTGAGTGTGCCATGTCCACAGCCCTGGATCCATGGTGCCATGGTGTGTTGACTGATGGGTGGATGAAGGCCTTACCTCGTGGGACAGGTAGAAGGCTGCAATGCCCAGTGGCCAGAAGCAGCAGAGCATGGAGAAGACGCTGAGCCCCAGGTGGTCCCGTGGGGGCATCATGAGGAAGTTGTCCTCGCTCTCTGTGTCACTGGAGTAGTCACTCTGCAGAGAAAGGGGGCAGGAGAGGGGATTAGTATAGGGCCGTCATGGGACTGTGGGGAGGCGGGCGCCCGATGGATGGAGCAGCACTACCCCCAAAAGCTGCTATCATGGCCTGCAGGTGCCCAGCCCCAAACCAGGTGCCTCTGAGGGAGATCAATGAGGACAGGAAGAACCTAAGTGAGGCCCTTAGGTGGCTCAGTAGGGACAAAATCCTACAGGGTCGGTCACAGCACAGCGTTCCCAGCGTACAGTGGCACAGCTCACGATTTCTGACCACAGACATGTCAGGATGAAGCACATTTTCAACTTACGATGGTTTGTGGTAAATGGAAGAACCTTGTATGTTGAAGATCTTTGGGCTCCTGGGATGGGACAGTGGGAACAAAGCTGTCATTGATCAGGGTCTGGGACAGGGACTTCCAGAGGATTCGTGCCACGTGGGTTTGGATTTTTACTGCAACCTCCTGCTGGTTTGCGGAACAAAGCAGGGCTGGTGTGGACAGAAGAGCATGGTCCCAAATTTGCCTTCATGTTGCCTGATTCTGAGCCATGCCAGGATGTGGGGGTCCCAGCACCCACCCTTGCACAAGTTCCATCCTGAGGAACCATGGCTGCCTTGTGAGAAGCTGCCTTTAGATGTGGCTCTGCTGTCTAGTGGCTGGTGGATCATGGGGCTCAGCACTGGCCTGAGCCAGCATCTCCTGGGGACTCTGGTATGGGAGGCATGGTGGGGAGTGGCTCGGAGGGTTCCCAACATCACACTGCTGATTTCCTACAAGGATAGAGTCACTGCCCAGCCAGATGATGCTTCCCAGGACAAACAGGGCCACTTCTTCCTGGGAGGGCCATGAGCTATAGCACTCATGCCAGGGCTGGCACTGGGGATATCAAGGACACGTGCAGCGCTCAGCTACAGTGAGATCTCAGTGGACCATGGCCACCTCCCTACTTGTCCTCTGCACCCCGCTGCCCCCCCCAGACACTGACTCAGACACAGAGGGGGCCTATGGTGATGGAGTCATTTCCTAGCTTTGCAAATTAAATGCACAGACTGTTGGCCATGGCCTCTGACCATCGTGCAGACAGCCTGTGTTGCAGGGGACTGGGCACCCTGTGGACCCAGCTCTGGTCTAGGGGATAGAGAGGAGCAGTGTTCATCATGGGTCTCTCGACAATAAGCAGGGACTTCAGAGCCTAGGATGGGAGCTAGTGACTCCCAGTGCACACTTCTGCCCCCACAGACCTGCAGTCGGAGTCTGAGGCTCCACCCCACAGGGAAGGGATAGAAGGGACAGGCCAAGGGCACAGGCCAGTGCCAGGCCACGTGTGCACCCTGCAGGACACTACTCTTGCTGTGCCCAGGTGTGAGTCGGTGAGTACCCTCCATGTGTCTGGGATGACTCAGTATCCCGTCCACAGAGCTGCATCTGTGAAATCCCCATTCCTTTACTGTGCGTGTTGTCTCCCGTGTGGTCTTGGGAATAGTAACAGGAAATGAAAATTACTGTCATTATGGCACTCAGGGATGGAAACAAAACCGCCCTGGGATGCACAGTTTCCGGGAGTTGTGTGGACCGTGAGCTGCCCAGGTGGCAGTCAGAATGGCTCATGGGATGGAGGGTGTGCAGGGCCAAGCAGCATGTCCTCTTGCTGGGCCTCTCACACACAAACCCTGCCCCCTCGAGCTCTCTGGATCCCAGAAAGCAGAGACAGCTGCAGCTGGATCCACTGGGCTGGACTCCAGAGGGACCCATGGATGTGGGGTGCCCAGGGTCCAGCCTCAGACCAACTTGTCTGTGTCCCAAGATCACATGCAAGGCAGGGGGCTGGGTCATAGCACAGCCACCTTTCCTACGTCTCAGTGTCACCCTGGACATTCCCAAGCTGCATGGCAGGTGGAGACAGTGCAGGTGGAGACCCTGGCACAGCAGGTACCCATCTGTGCAAACACCTGTTCACAGCTTAGTTGTCAGGTGTTTGCTTCATGTGTGTTTCTCCTAGTTGCACGGTGTCATTTGCACATAAGCCCCTCATTTTCACAGCCACTCTGGAGGTGATCACTGCTTTTATTGTCTTTTCCGTTTTACAAAGGCCCCGAGAGACTGGAACTCTTGGCGACTTGTCAGATTTCTGCACAACCTGCTCCTGGCTGCCAGGCCATGGAGTCTGGGCCTGACTATTCCTCCCTGGGTCCTGGGCTCCATGCAGGTTCAGGTGTGACTGATTTGGTCACATTGAGCCTGCTCTGCCTCCGTGGCCAGTGTGTTCCTCTTCTGTGCCCCAGGACTCTGTGGCTTTGCTTCTTGGCTGGTCTGTTCCATCAGTGGCCACTGGGGTCCACTGTTTTTCCTGGACAACCCAGGCTCAGGATGGCTACCCAGAGTGCCCTGGAGGCTGGCAAGTAAACTCCAGCTTTGGGAACTGAGAATCTCACTAAAATCCCAAGAAACAAAGACACAGGTCCAGGCTTTCCTCCTGGTGTCACAGACTTTTGCTTGGAAGTATAGAGCAACCACACGTTAAGAATGCAATGTTGCTGCTCAGCACCAAATTAATTAATCACATTTGATTAAAATACATGATTGAAACTCAGACAAACTGCAGCGCAGATAAGAATACCCTGGCTCTTTCTCTATGCTCCTTCTTCAGCTGATGCTCTGAGGAGTGGGCCCAGCCCAGGAGGCCATGTAGGCACTGATCACCAGGCAGAGGACAGGATGTGCCAGCACCAGGAGAGATGAAGCATGCACAGCCTTCATGGTGGTCCCCTGAAGACAGCTGCAAGGCAGGCTTCAGGCTGAGGCCCGGCTTTGAGCTGAGCCCTTGGAGTGGCTTTCAGGGATGGACATGGCCTCTCTGCTGTGTCCTGCTGGCCTGCATGACCCCAGCCCTGCTGTTGGCATCCCCTCCACTGGAAGAGACAGCCCTAGGCTCCCACTGTCCTCATCACTCTGACCTCACCCCATGGGATCCTTGCAGAGGAGGCTGTGATGGTCACGCTGAGGACACAGCCACTGAAAGAAGCTGCAGGTGTCTGTGGGAACCAGGACAGGCCCAGCACCATAGGACCCTCAAACACTGCTCGTCCATGGGATCTGCCTGGTTCCAGCTCTGACCTCAGTTTCCACCCACCAGGGGGCCTCTACTGCCCCGTGCTGAGCATGGGGCTCTGCATACACTGCCTCCTTCTCGAGAATAGCTGGCTCCCTCAGTCATCAGAGCTCTGGGCTCAGGTGCCCTTCTCCTTGGACTTCTCTGCACACCCAAATGCCGTTGCCACCTGCTCAGGGTTCCTCCCCTGCAACCTGGGGTGCCAACCCCTCCCCTGAGATGAGGAGGGCAGAGGTCTGCATGTGTCTGGACCCAGCTCCATCCTGAGCACCTTCATGGTGGAGCCTTCCCAGTAGGGTATGTTCCAGGGTGTCACATGTCACTTGTCACCTGGTGAGAGGGGTGAGGTCCATGCTGCACTCAGTCTCAGGGTTCCTGAATGCTCCTTGGGCCTGGGTCTCCATCAGAGACAGGTGGTCATGGGCTGGTGATGGCAGGCAGCACCCAGGTCTTGGGACTTGGGCAGCTGGGCCTTTGCTGTTTGAGTTCTGCCTGTTGGGTTCTGGGAAAACTTTTAAAAAGCTAATGGGATCCAGTTAAAAAGTAATAATCCTGAATCAATAAATATCTGAAGTGAAAATGAGTGAGAAGTAAGTCCCCCCTCCTGGGATTGTAGTCCACTACCCCCTAAAGGATACCCTATTCCTGGAGGAGGGAGTTGCTGGGTTTTCAGAAGATCCTAATTCTGCTAAGAGCCTAAGCTATGAAAATTTTCTGTGATGAAGGAAATAAGTTAACTCAGTAGGGAAATCAAGTAGCGCAGCATTGTTCATGTCTGGGAGGGATGAGAGGAGGCTGGCGCTGTCCACACTGAGGCGTCTGCAGCAGGTGGGGGGCAGTGGGCCTGACCCCATCCTGGCCTCCAGTACTGAGGAGCATCACCTACAGACCCCAAGGCCCTGGTGCAGTGTGGGAGGCTGACAAAGCTCTCAGATGCCCTGCATGCCCCTGCGAACAGGGCTCTTGTTGGGTTTCTTCAGATTCTGTTCCCCCCCCCAAGGGTTTCCATAGTGATGTCAATCCTGCCACCTTTCCACCACCAATCCACATAGTGAGTGTGATTTCACTTCCCCGTGGAAGAGCCCGGGGGTCTGTGCTCTGCCCACTTGGGTCAGTCAACAAGCTCTCCAGAAGAGACCGAGAGAGGCTGGCCCACCTGGCATTGCTTTCTGTGGGGGGACAGTGCACTGGAGGGACACAGGGATCTAGGCATGCAGGGCACTGTGGAGGCAGGGCTCCACTAGGGCCATCTGTCCTGGGTAAAATGCACATATATCTCCTCTGAGAAGCATCCAGTTAGCATCTGAGGATGGCTGCAGCCTTCAGGTCCACCAGGTTCCGGAAGCAGGAGCCAGATGGAGCCAGACTCGTTCAGATTCAGCCCTGTTGACTCTTCCTGGCATCTCTGCTTGTGCGGTCAGAGGATGATGATAAAATGTATAATTGTATTAGAGGATGTGACATGACATTCCTGTGTTCTAGGATTTATCTTGAAGGCTCACCTCCAAAAATAGGAAAACACATTGTACAAGGTTATTAATTGGAGCATTGTAAGTGATTACAAAGCACCAGAAACAGCTGAGATGTTCATGCAAAGAAGAGCGGTTAAATAAATAGTGACACATGCCCACAGTGGAATATAATGCAGCCTGAAAAATAGACACACCCAGCAGACTGACTGGACTGGATACAGAGCACACACCTAGAGATGTGGAAATGTGTGCAGGCTGTGTCACACGATCACATTTCATCAACAGTTGGCAGGTGTTCTGGTGGTCCACAGCATGATATCTGTCACCTAGGAACACTATAGCCACTTGTGTGAGTCTCTGTGATGTGGACACAATGACCAACATTCCTCAGACTGAGCCCAGAGTCAAGTGGTGCAG